GGTAGGCTGCATCAAGCCTTAATTACTCTAAATTTTTTCACTTGTGATGCTGATGGAAAGAAACCTATGGAGCTACATTGGTGTCAGAATAAAACAAAAGAAAATGGTCTAGTTAAATGGAAGGATCCCGAATCTGGCTTATGGAAGGGACCTGACCCATTATTAACCTTTGGCAGAGAGTACGCTTGTATATTCCCAGAGAATTTTTCCAAACCCGTGTGGATTCCTGTTAGAAATATTAAACTGCATCAGGGATCCAAGAGAGAAACTAGCCAGACTGAGGACCTTGCGCCTGGAGCCACACCATGCAGTTGCAGACAATCAACTATCTTAGCCACAGAGTCCAGCAACTCCAAGCAGTCCACTGAAGATGAGGAGCAGGAGGAAGAGAAGCTGGACAACAAACAGCCAAAAAACCACCTGGGGCACGGTAAAGTGAAGTATGGTAACGATTATTTCAGATAGTTTCATACTGGTCTTAGAAAGCACATTTTCCTTTTCCTGGGAAGGACAGCACAGTTATCCCAAGGTCAGAGGGCTCCAGTTAACTCAGTCCCTATTAACTCAGTGTTCTGGAGAACCAAAACTGTAATTTAGATAAAGTGCCTAAGTTTAACCCAGGTCACCCAAGGGTTATAGACCCAAAACTGTAATTTAGATAACATGCGTAAGTTTAACCTAGGTTACCCAAGGACTCTAGGTAATGTGTTTACCCAAAACTGTAATTTAGATAGCATGCGGTCTTTGCTTCTGTAAATTGCCTTTTTTGCAAAATAGGTTCCTCATCCCAAACCTTGAGACAGCCATTTTAAAATTGAATTGTCATGACCTAGAGCAAAGAATATTCTTACATGGTACTATTCTAAAAGTTTCATTAATAATTTTTGATGCTTTACAACAGTATATTGTGCATTTATCCCAAACAGACTTACAAACTAATTCTTTGAATGTTTGGCAGCAATTTAATAAGGACATGAAAGGATTTAATCCCTTCCACTGTGTGGAAGGCCCCCTAGGAAGGCACTTAAGCATTCTGTATTGACCTCTCTTGACCTTTTTGCCAAGAGGGTCCCTCTTCTCACAATCCAATTGCCTACAGCTGTTGCCTGAGTTCTCTGTTCATGCTGAGGTCATGGTGGCTGGTACCATGGATCTGTCTCTTGCCCAATGGCGTGAGCTGGGCCCTCTCTGGAGAAGAAAACCTGGGTTCCCCATGATCAATGCCGGGGCCCCACCAGCAGGCGAGGGGATCCAAAGGCAGTTGCTGGGTGTGGAGGCCACAGGGGCATAGGCTATCAAGGAGACAGAACTGTACCTCACATCACCCTGCTTGGCCCCGGAGGATGGCTGGTTAGCCAATGATGGGTAAGATTTCCAGGGAGGAATGACCTAAGGGCACAGATGTGGAGGGGCCAGTAGAAGAGAACTTGGGGGTCAACAGAGGTGGGGCACAGATCCTCACCCCCCTCCAATTATCCAGGGGCTTGAACACTCACCCCTTCTGAGGGAGGTCTCCTGCCCCCATGGCTGCTTCTCGCTTCCCATGCCCAGCCCAGATTGGGACCCAGATAACAGAAAGAGACTTGGTCCAGCTGAGATCAGGACCCAGAAAACAGAGACTTGGCTAACAGCAGCTACCCTATATCTAAATCTAGCCTAACAACAGGAATGCTCAGGGCCTTCTCAAGGATGCAAAATAATCCTTTCCATTAATATTTACAATGTAAATTAAGATTGTTTTAGAGTATTAAATTTGACAGTAAAATAGTAGTCAAGTTTTCAAATTAGTTAAATTTGGATAATTTGAAATAAGTAATTATTCAAGAAGTACTAACCAACATTTTCATTTCGTGGTAAAATTGCTTAACATGCAACGAACCTAAAGCAGTCATATTTTTGTGCAAAAAAATAACATTTAAAGTTATCTAGACTGCATTATAAAATTTCCAAATATCCTCCTAATAATAAAATAAAAAAAGTGGGGATAGTGGAAAAATATAGTGGAAAAATGCCATGTAAGGAAACAGATCCTGTAACTAAATTACATTTAGATAAAATTTTTCGTTTATAATGCTAACGGCAAGATACCAAGGAAAACACACATAATGTCAAAATAAGCCAAAGGAAAATCATTTGGGCAAATTAACCTTTGGTCGAGAATATGTTTGTATATTTTCAAAGAATAGCTGCAAGACAATGTGGATTCCTGCAACAACAAATCCCAGAGAGAAACTGACCAGATTGCTCCAGCCACCACGACAGGAAAGAGACAGTTCAGAGATGGAGATGGTGAAGACGTCTGGCCATGGTAGCAGTCACCAGGTGTGCGTCGCTGCATTTTGCCCAGGACCAAACCAGAGAGGGTCAGACTTGCTTTTCCACCATTTGTCCACCATCCAGAACCAGCATGTATTGCTGGCATATACACATGAACTGTCGGACATTGAAACTTAGACTCAGAACTGTTGGACATTGGTCGTCGCCGCTGCTGTGGCTGCTCCTGCTGCTGAGGCTGCTGGCGGAGGCCGGAGAACCAGGCGGCGGTGGCTGAGAGGGCAGCGGCAGGAGCGGAGCGGGAGGAGGGAATGAGAGGAAGCCTGAGAGGGGGGAGCGGAGCGCACTGAGCCCCGCCCGCCCTTCCACGCGCCAGG